CATCTCTATTGTCCTGTGGACTATACCCGGAGCTCCAGTTACACTCAGTAGAGATGCAAAGAAATGTTTGCTCACTAGAAATGTGTGAGCGGATCATGGACAAGCCTCCAAAAAGATGCATCTAGGCACAGAATGGCAACAATGGAAAGAGGGAAACAGCCGTCCCACCAACATGCTGCTGGCACTGAGGTGAGGAGGGTGTCTACAGAGCTCACCGCAGCAGTGCCCTAGGACCTGGCACGAGGGGCCAGGGGACTGCAGGCAAGTCCATGCCTTCCAACCAAACTGATTTCCTTGAATTCCGTGTGCCTCTTTTTCTCATTATTAAGGCTCCTGGAAACATAGCCCTATCTAACTCTGGCAAGCCTCAGAGAAATTAATTATTTTCAAAAGATGTAGTCGAACAATTCTTAAACTGAAAACTTAGCCTTAAGCCCACAGGAGCAAGCATTTATGTTTTTAACTTTCCACTTTTCTTAGAGAGACTGCAGAATCTAAGACAAGGTGCCAAAAACCTAAGATAATTTCTAACCAGGAAGCTTAATGGTCCTCACACAGCTCTTGTTCACCAAGAGCAAGGCCCTCCCTACCCACAGTGCTGTAAGATGACCCAGGAAAAAGAGAGGGGAGGAAAAATATGAGTTTTGTCAAAGCAATCTCTAACCCTAGGATGCGGCTTGCTGGCCCTTCCTTGCCTCCTTCACCCTCAAACACAGCAGAGAAGGAAAGGCTTTCACTAAAGGCCCAGGCTAATCTATGGAGCTAGAACAGGCCTAGTATCCTGACTTGAGTTCATTTTATGTGTTGTGCTGTTCTCTGCCCTCCCTGGTTAACTATCCCTCCCACTACCAAGAACCCTACAAGAGACCTTCACAGTCATGTAAGTGAAATAAGAACGCAAATAAAGGTGACCCATTATTTGAGGGTCCTTCCATTCTGATGATTTAGATATCTACGGTGAAAGGAGTTTAATCTTGTCCCAGGATGACTCATTGGTGGCTCCTACACAGAGGTACCAGGGGAATATTGGATGGGCTGGATTCTAGAGCAAACTGCCCAAGTTCAGTTCAAGTCCCAGTTCGGTCACTTATTAGTTATGGGTCTTCATACAATTACTAACCAAATTGAGTCTCAGTTTCCTCATTTGTAAAATGCAAATTAGGATAATACTAACACCCACTTCATAGGGTTTCTTATAAAGACAAAAGAAATTAGCTAGCAGAAAGCAAGCCCTTGATAAATTATTGGCCTATATGCTAATCAGTTTTGTCTTTGAAGCTAATGAAACCATATTCTCAGCCTCACTTTCTGAAGCCACAGTTTGAATTCTAAGATTAAACAGTATATATCTTTGGCTACATGGGAATGGAAAAAGAGAGAATCCAAACCTCAAAATGAAAACCACAAGCCTCGCTCTGACATTTAAGGCCCTCCACAATCTACTCCCATCCCTCCTTCCAAACAGACCTCCTGCTATGTTCCCGTACCACTTCTCCAGGTCATCCACCCTTTAAAAACACATCGAGCTCTTATGTGCCATGTATCATGCTAGGCATGGTTCCCCCCATCTGGTCAACCCCGTGCCTTTGTCTTTTTAGATTCTGACTGGCCTTCAAAACAGAGTTCTAGATCGAGCACATCAGGGCACCTGGGTGACTCAGTTAAACGTCCAACTCTTTTTTTCTTTTTTAATGTTTATTTATTTATTTTGAGAGAGAGAAAGAGAAAGAATCCCAAGCAGGTTCCACCTTGTCAGCCCAGAACGTGACGCAGAGCTTGATCTCAGGAACTGTAAGATCCTGACCTGAACCAAAATCAAGAGTCGGATGCCTAACTGACTGAGCCACCCAGGAGTCCCTAAGCGTCCGACTCTTGATTTTGGCTCAGGTCATGATCTCATGGTCATGAGATCAAATTCTGGGTCAGGCTCCATGCTGGATATGGAGCCAGCTTTAAATTCTCTCTCTTGGGGCACCTCAGTGGCTCAGTCAGTTGAGTGTCTGACTTCAGCTCAGGTCACGATCCCGTGATTTCATAGTTCTGAGTTCCAGCCCTACTTTGGGCTCACTGCTGTCTGCACAGAGCCCGTTTCAGATCCTCTGTCCCCCTTTCTCTCTGCCCCTCCCCCACTTGTGCCCTCTCTCAAAAATAAAAAATAAAAAACATTTTTAAAAAAGATTTTCTCTGTCCCTCTCCTGCACGTTCACGCATGCACACACTCTCTCCCTTTCTCTCAAAAAACAAAAAACAAAAAAAAGATGGAGCACATCCGCTCATCCACAAAGCTCTCCCTAGCTGCTCCAATCTACCAGGGCTTCCCCTTCTGACCTCTCTGAGGTCTTTTGGCTTTTATTTGGTATTCACCATATACTGATTATTTTGTTATATGGTTTTATTTTATATACCTAACTAAAGTACAAATGATTCAAAGGAAGGGATGAATCTTAACATTCCTTTGTATGACCCTAAGTGACTAGTACTGTGCTTTGCACTTAGAAGGACTCAGTGAATATGTGATTTACTGGCTATCAGTATATACAAAACATTTCTTCCTTCTTACTCATTCGTTTAGGCAATAGTTTGTTCAAAAAGGCATCTCTAATGCTATTCACATAGTTGTGTTCAGTTTGTGAAAATATACTGAGCTACACATTTCATGTGTACATTTCTCTATGTAAACTGTATTTCAATAAAAATTTAGCATTAAAAAAAGGTATCTCTACCTCTACCATTAATCACTTGTTTCAGGTTGCTACAAAATTTGTAACTCTACTATACCTTCAATTTTACTGTAATTCTCAGCAAAATTTTGATTATGTATACAATTCAAAAAAATATTTTACCGATGGCCTGGAAGAAAAAGGAAGATCTTAACCAAAACAGATTCATTATCTGATACATCAAGGTTATAGTCATCAAACTCACCACTTTCCCATGAAGTATCTTCTTCAGTTATGTTTTTCAGTCTGTTCCAGGCATCAGTGAAAGCAGAAAATTCTGCCTCAAACCCACCAGGTATGATTATACATCTTGTCATCAAAACAACACTTTTTTTTTAAAGGCACATTTTCAATCAAGCCATCTCTCTCTCCCTCGCTCCCTCTCTCTCTCACTACTACTTTTCAATTAAATTTTAATTAGGATCAATTTTGACATACAGGCTAAAAGACAAATAACTCTTCAATCATGAGGCAAGATGAAACTGCTGACAGAGAGTGGGCAGTTCAAATTCACACCATCACTTAAAAAACAAAACAGGGGCGCCTGGGTGGCGCAGTCGGTTAAGCGTCCGACTTCAGCCAGGTCACGATCTCGCGGTCCGTGAGTTCGAGCCCCGCATCAGGCTCTGGGCTGATGGCTCAGAGCCTGGAGCCTGTTTCCGATTCTGTGTCTCCCTCTCTCTCTGCTCCTCCCCCGTTCATGCTCTGTCTCTCTCTGTCCCAAAAATAAATAAACGTTGAAAAAAAAAAATTTAAAAAAAAAAAAAAAAAAAAAAAAAACAAAACAAAACAAAAAAACTAGTGACTTTCTCCCAAGGTATTTGCAACAAGAGGGACAGTCTGCTGTCCAATCCCATAAAGCAAGTTCTACAAACTGACTTTCACTCAGCCTGTGCCTCCAAATGACTCCTGGTCTGAGTCTACTGGAGCCTTAACAGCTTCTTACTGGCTTCTTCAGTAGAGCACAGAGGATAAGAGCATAGAGGTAAAACCTGTCTCCTCCACTCCCCAGCAGCACGACGCTGTGCACATTATTTAATCACTCCATACCTCATTTCATCAACTGTAAAATGGGACAAAATAATCCTACCTACCTTAGAGTTGTGATTAAGAGAGCTCATGAAATAACATCCTTATTCACTGTTATATCCTGTAACTGTTTAGCCCTGTGCCTGGCTGTAGTGCACACTCAATAAATGGTTATTATTATGATCACTATCATCTCATCTGTAGGTGAATTCAATAGCCAAAACCAAGAGGCTAATCATTTTCCAAGTTAATGCATGCACTCTTGTGGAGACCAGCCACTTCACAGAACTGGTCCAACAAACTCTTTCATGTAGCTCATTATAGAACAGACACAAAGCAAATTACCACAAAATAGGGCAAATTAAGCTTCCAAATTTGTTAAGTAACCCTGACTGGGAACGCTAAGATGTTGGCGTGGGGGGATCTAATACTCTTACTGAAGCGACAATGTTCCCACCAAATCTTTTGTTTCTTCTTATCTCCAATCTCATACTCTGATGGCCTCCAGGAAGCACAGTTCTGTACTTTTCCTAAAGTTACACATAAAAATATCTGAATAGACAAAATTAATAACCTCCTAAGCATCTCTGCAGAGATGGAATGTCACCTCTGTCTACAAGATCTATTTATTTTATGATAAAGAACAAAAAGGCTTTCTTGAAATTTTCATTTAGGACAAGAAAAGAAATGTAATCTATGCATGTAACAAAATGAAGCAGGTTTAAACATTAGCATATTTGTTCTCTACCTATGTCACCACTGATGGTTAGTTAGGTATCTACATCACCAACATGAGAATGTCTAGCACCAGTCTAGTAAAATGTAACACAGGCAAACATATTATGTAATCTGTGGTCAAATATTTTATTTCCTCAAAGAACATAAATACGTTTTTTTTTTTGTTTGTTTTTGTTTTTTTTTTAAATTTTTTTTTTCAACGTTTATTTATTTTTGGGACAGAGAGAGACAGAGCATGAACGGGGGAGGGGCAGAGAGAGAGGGAGACACAGAATCGGAAACAGGCTCCAGGCTCTGAGCCATCAGCCCAGAGCCTGACGCGGGGCTCGAACTCCCGGACCGCGAGATCGTGACCTGGCTGAAGTCGGACGCTTAACCGACTGCGCCACCCAGGCGCCCCAAATACGTTTTGCATAAGCATCACATTTCCTAAATTCTTCCAAACTGAAGAGGCTGAGGAAAAATATACCCAGAAGAATATAATGAGTCTGCAACCTATATTATACAACTCACCGGCAGTGGCTACACAGGAACTCAGCAAGGCAAACATGGCCATCACATGGTAAGAAGCCATTTTGATTTCTCCAGAAGCGTGCCCCATTTGGTCACCCTCAGCCGAGACTTCTTCAGATTGTAGACAGCCTTTGCAAATCGGAAGTGGCCTTAAAAAATCCTTCTTTCCAATTTTCAAATTGCCTGTAAAAATAAACATATTTCAAGAAGAAAACTTAACGCAGAAACACCTTTTCAAAAACACACATTAAAGTGAAATGAACAATTTCTAAGAGTGCCCGGGTGGCTCAGTCGGTTGAGTGTCTGACTCTTGATTTCAGCTCAGGTAATGGTCTCACAGTTTGTGGGATTAAGCCCCGAGTCAATTGGGATTTTCTCTCCCTCTTTCCTCTCTCTCTCTCTC